GTGTATATATATATATATATATATATATATATATATATATATATATATATATGAGATTTTTAAAAGCACAATACTAATATAACATGCAATTTTGTCTTACCTTCTTTTTATGCGGATGAACCAGACATTTAAAGCCTATAATGCCAGTGTTTTTGCTGTCACGCGGATTCTGATCCCAGCCTGGATTGTGCATTACTACGTGAAGTACCACGTCAGTGTAAGTTCATGGTGCTGTTATACTGTTTCATCTACAGTTACACTGCTTTCATTTACCAGAACTGTAATTTGTGCACTGTACTAAAATGACACGGAAGTCTGAGCCACTATAGAGGTTAAAATTATGAGGCTAACTCGAAGGCTTTGATAAGATTTAATTATTTTCTGAATACCCACTACATTAGATGCTTATCAAAACTGACAGAATGCTTGGTTCCAGTTGAGCATGCACATTGTTTTGTGAAATAAAAAGTAATGTAATTATGTAATAATAATATTATAATAATGTCGTTTTTTTTTCAATTTAGTATAATGGAGATAACAAATGCAGTATATTTATTATTATCATTATTATTATTATTATTATTACGTTAACCCTAAACTATAAAAAATATTGAAGGCATGAAATATAATCATAGCCTTTATGACCTTTGATATCTTATTTCAAAGAATGTCAGATTTATTCATCTTTTTGTTACATTTAATAAATTAAATCTAAATATTTTCATAAAGGCTTGTATTATGTGTGCAAAGGTTGAAGATAAAATGTAACACCAAATATCTTTGTGCTTTGGCTGATCATTGTCATGCCTAGATATAAAGTTCAAATAGATATTTCTTGTTTCCACAGAAAATGCCATATGGAATTGTTGCTCTTAAACCCAGACTGTTTCCTGTAAGTATACTTACATTATTATGGACCAGACAGTATTATTGCACTAATAATCAAAAGGAGTTTTGTAAATTACCTTCAAATAATCATTAATTTTGATGTTTATGTATGTTCTCATGCACACCTTCTTTGCATGTGTATGTTTTTCAGGGAGACACCATTTTGGAAACAGGAGAAGTTGTCCCAGATCTTCCTGAAGCAGACAGTCATGGTCATCATTAAAGATGCCAGTGTATATTTAGTATAGACATACCTGTTAGCACTGGTTGAAAAAACATGCTTGTGTGTATACTATGTCAATAAAATTTATTATACAGATTCTGTATGCCTGTTCTGTGTCTTTGAATGACAGTATCACACCCTTTTGGGTACATTCTGAGATCCATAAAATGTAGCTAATTTAATTTTTTACTCCACACATCTCACATGAAAGAAGAGTCTTGAATTATTTTAATAAAAAGCACACTGAAGAGCCAATAGTGACATTCTTGACAACACAGAGTCTTTGACATTTGTTATTGCATGATTTTGAAAAACGTATCACAATTCAATGCTTTAAATGTCAAATCAGACAAAAACAATAATAAGGGGGGGCCTTTGGAATCCAAAAAGCAGTAAACTATTGAAGTCTTTGTTTGAATATTAGAATACTAAATTAAAATATTTTCTTAAATGCTCCTCACAAGCTTTGTCGTTGCTATTTAGTGAAGTTCTCAGAATTGTCTGTGTGTGTTTTAGTATTTTCGAAATTATGAAATGAAAAGCATAAACCACAAATAGAAGGAGCTTCATCTCTGATATATCATTAACGCTTCAAAATTTCAAAACTCATTTTTTGACGTTTGTCTCGCATATGGTTGGTGGACTTTTATTTTGAAGTGAAAAACAGGAAGTTCTGAAAGTTTGACAGGATTTCACTTCCGCAATTTTCATGTTTTGTTACGTCATGATGAGCAACATTGCTTATGTAGACGGACTGAGCATTATTGTATCTTTTTTTTTTGGTCATTATTAAGTGCTTTTTTATATATTTGCAGCTGTAAAGTTGTAACAATAATCCGTAAGATATAATGCATTACAGGCTGCTTGTATACCGTGTATTGATCTTTAAAACGGCGCTGGTTTGTTAGATAGTAAGTTACATTATCTTCAGGTCAACATGTTTTTGTGGATTCTGTAAAACAGTACTACAATTATTAAACTGTGCAAGTCATGATGTTCTTTTGTTTGTTTAGGATATTTAAGCGAGATGCTTCCAGCGGAATTCAGAGAATCTAAGTACTTCGAAAGTTTCGACAAATACGTAAAAGAGTAAGTTTAAAACATCATTTTGAAAGTTTTTCATATTTTTCTTAATTTCTATTTTCTATCTACTTTTTATAGAAATGTTTTTATAGCGCTTAAATAAACACAAAAGCTAATGTGACACCGTATAGGTTTGTTTATATTTTGTAAACATGGTAAAATGCCAATATTGTGTTATTTATAGCAGACATTAGTTTATTACTAATGAGAAAAACTAACAATACGAGTAAATACGATCACATAAATACTATTTATGTGACCGTATTTATTTACTCATATCGTAATTATTTGGCGGATGAAAGGTTTTCAAATATTAATAAACAGTGAAGCTGTTTTGTTACAATAATACTCCCCCCCCCAAGAAATAATAAAAGATTATGCTATACTGTCGAATATGGTTTGCTTTTAACGAAACCTTTTCTTTCATAGCAGGACATTTGTATCACCTTGACATTTTTGACTTGATATTTAAAAAAATTAAAATGAGTTTTAATTAATTCTTATTCTTTTCGTTTATCATTTTATTTAAATGTAAACACTTTATCAATTTTAAACATGTAGCAAATGCAAGTAGCATAATAATTCAAATATTTCTTCCATCAGATTATGGCATCACCACAGATGAAGGAGCGCCTGTCAGGTGTTGTGTTAAACACTGTATCAAAAGGAGCATCTCCAGAATCAAAATGCCCAATATGCCTGGATCATTTCAAAAACATATCATATCTGGATGTGTGCTTACATAAGTTTTGCTTCTGCTGCATCCACGAGTGGTCGAAGAACAAAGCAGAATGCCCTTTGTGCAAACAGCCATTTAATTCAATTTATCACACCATTAAGTCTGAAGATAACTACAAGAGGTTTGACCTGCGACCAACTGAAAATGGCTCATTTGGCAACATGGCAGGGCAAAGATTCAGGTATCGCACCACGCTTACAGGCAACCGCAGACCAGCACAGAGGAGAACGTCTCCTCCTCCTGACCATGGGGTCATATTTGAGGGCCTGAGGGGATCTCTTCCACAGCGGCACAACAGAGATCTCCACAGCATGTTAAGGAGGTTGGCAGTAAGACAAAGAAGAGAGAGAGAGGGAAGATCTGTGCAAAGTCTGCGCGAACAAGAAATTGTTAAATTCAGACGGGCCTTGTACAGAAGAGGTGTGCAAGTCCAGAGCGTTCAGGATGGTGGTCGTAGCAGGGAGACTTCTGCAGAGTTCTTCAGAAGAAATCCTGCTTGTCTCCACAGGCTTGTGCCTTGGTTGAGACGAGAGCTGACTGTTCTATATGGCACTCACGGTTCCCTTGTCAACATAGTGCAGCACATCATCATGACTTTGATCACTCGACATAACTTGGATGACCAGGCTGTTGTACACGAGCTTCGACCCTTCTTGCTATCCCATACAGAGCACTTCCTACATGAGTTTCTTTGTTTTGCTCAATCCCCGTTCAACATGGAGGCATATGACCAGCGTGCAGTTTATGACTTGCCTCGGCCCTCCGGAGAAGATAGCAGTTCGGAAACCTCTGTGATCGCCATCTCTGAGGATGAAAGTGATTCTTTAGTGTCAGGATCCCAGGATTATGCCACTCCTAGTCTGACCTTAAGCCAAACAGCATGGGATGATGAGACCCCAGGGCCATCCTACTCCTCGGAGCCATCTCAGGTATTACCTTTCCCTGTGAGGGACTCGGATTCTGATAGTAGTGTAGGGGAAGCAGTAGTGTCTGTTGCTGCTGTGCCATATCAAGACCGTCCAGCAAATACTGGCACTATTGCAGTGGAAGAAGAGCATTCCGCTAGCAGTGAGGATGACTGTGTTATTATCAGCTATGTTAAGCCAGTGTCAGAAAGGACTCCAGAACTGGTCCAGCTTTCATCTGATTCAGAACATTCTGAGCAGAATGTAGAGCTACGAATCCCTCGGGCACCCCAACACATTCGATTTACTTCAGAGTCTGATTTGTCTCCCACTGACACTCAGAGAACCTCGAGGAGGCCAACGAGATGTTCTCGCTCACCTGAGAACACCACTAGTCACCCAAGAAAAGAAAAGAAATATGGCAAAGGGCATCATAAAAGGGAGTTGTCGGGATCTAGAGAAGGATCCTTGCGCAGCAACAGGACACACTCCTCCTCTCGTAGCAGGAAACACCCATTGTCTAAAGAGAGCAAGCATAAGCGGAGAAGAGAAAAAGAGACAAGTCACCACACCTCATCTTATTGGCATTCATATAGCCATTACAGTCAAAGAGACAGCAGCAGGAGATGTTATACAGAGACGCGCTCATCCTACACCAGCTATTACAGAAGTGTACATGATCGCTTTCATTCTCAATCGCATAGTAGAAGGCGGAGCAGGGACCGTCAGGACAGAAGTCACTCAAGGAGCAATTCTAGAATCAAGTCCAGCTCCTCCAATCGTCAGGACAGAAGTTGCTCAAGGAGCAATTCTGGGATCAACTCCTCCAATCATCAGGACAGAAGTCGCTCAAGAAGCAGATCTAGAATCAAGTTTAGCTCCTCCAACCGTCAGCACAGAAGACGCTCAAGGAGCAGTTCTAGAGGCAACTCTTCCAACCGTCAGAACAGAAGTCGCTCAAGGAGCAATTCTAGAATCAACTCCAGCTCCTCACATCAGACATCACGGCATGATGATCATGGCAGGAAAAAGAAATACAAAACAAAGCATCATGAGGAACCCTCTTGCAAATTGTTTACTGATTCTGTTAAAGATGATGCAAAAAATAAATACAAGAAGCATCACAGAAAGTTCAAGAGGAAAAGCAGGAGTCCAAGCAGAGGTGACAAATCTGAGGGTCACAGTCGGAAACATCACAAGAAGAAGAAGAAACACAAGAGGAAGAGCAGGAGACATAATAGTGAGGAGAGGGTGGGAAAAAACAGCCCTGTTCTCATTACAATTTCTAGTGACAGTGACAGTGCTGACCCCAGTGAACCCTCAACCAGTAATATCTGTGCAGCTGGCTCCATTGTCCCAATAGCAAACAGTGCAACAGAAACTCAGCCGCTCATGTCCAGATTCCTAGACATGGAGCAAGAGTCAACTGCTGGAACTGGATGTAGTTCTGTGGGTGATGCAGGGAATCACCCCCCAGACAGATTAAGGCCAATGTCTTTGTGAGTTTGTATGTTCAGTTTAACTGAACTCCTCAATTTGTGGCAAATAATGATTGACAAAGGACTATTGTAATGCCCACATGTATATTTAGTGTTTTATAAATACAAAAGGGATGGGTTTTAAATGTGATTTTGATTTGGGGTTTCTTGTTTTTTTTTAGATATATGTAAATTTGCATTTGTGATTTATTTGAAAATGTATTTCGTTTCAAACTCCCCTATGCAAGCAAATCAACAGTCATCAATTTTCAAAGTTTAGTGTTCCTTTTTTATTTGCCTATGTCAAATAAATTGAAAAGGATCATAAAAGTGTCTTTGTTACTGAATGCATTCTTTCATAATGTGTTCTTTTGTGTGCACATTGTATTTCTATGTGTATGTTTGCTTAAAATAGTCTGGAAGCAGTTTAATGCACAGGCATTCATTATTAATTTTTGTCATTTACAGTTTATGACACATGAACTCAGTGTATATCCTCAGATTTCTAAAACAATTTCAGAAAATACACTGAAAATTCATCTTTAAATTGAATCAATACATTGATGCAGAGAATAAATACTTAAATTTTTCATTTGGGTATGTTTTTTAAAATATTTTTATTATGATTTCTTGATAGTGCACACCATACTGTCCAAACTATTTTTAAAGGTAAAAGAAAAAAGTAAACTGCTATAAGAAAAAAGTACACGTGATCTGTGGAAAAATCCATTATGTTTTATGAGCCAACACATGATATTTTACTGCAAAATATGTACAAAAATGTGGAAAAATTTATGGGAGGAGTAGTCACAGTCGGAAACATCACAAGAAGAAGAAGAAACACAAGAGGAAGAGCAGGAGACATAATAGTGAGGAGAGGGTGGGAAAAAACAGCCCTGTTCTCATTACAATTTCTAGTGACAGTGACAGTGCTGACCCCAGTGAACCCTCAACCAGTAATATCTGTGCAGCTGGCTCCATTGTCCCAATAGCAAACAGTGCAACAGAAACTCAGCCGCTCATGTCCAGATTCCTAGACATGGAGCAAGAGTCAACTGCTGGAACTGGATGTAGTTCTGTGGGTGATGCAGGGAATCACCCCCCAGACAGATTAAGGCCAATGTCTTTGTGAGTTTGTATGTTCAGTTTAACTGAACTCCTCAATTTGTGGCAAATAATGATTGACAAAGGACTATTGTAATGCCCACATGTATATTTAGTGTTTTATAAATACAAAAGGGATGGGTTTTAAATGTGATTTTGATTTGGGGTTTCTTGTTTTTTTTTAGATATATGTAAATTTGCATTTGTGATTTATTTGAAAATGTATTTCGTTTCAAACTCCCCTATGCAAGCAAATCAACAGTCATCAATTTTCAAAGTTTAGTGTTCCTTTTTTATTTGCCTATGTCAAATAAATTGAAAAGGATCATAAAAGTGTCTTTGTTACTGAATGCATTCTTTCATAATGTGTTCTTTTGTGTGCACATTGTATTTCTATGTGTATGTTTGCTTAAAATAGTCTGGAAGCAGTTTCATGCACAGGCATTCATTATTAATTTTTGTCACAGTCAGTTTATGACACATGAACTCAGTGTATATCCTCAGATTTCTAAAACAATTTCAGAAAATACACTGAAAATTCATCTTTAAATTGAATCAATACATTGATGCAGAGAATAAATACTTACATTTTTCATTTGGGTATGTTTTTTTATATTTTTATTATGATTTCTTGATAGTGCACACCATACTGTCCAAACTATTTTTAAAAGTAAAAGAAAAAAGTAAACTGCTATAAGAAAAAAGTACACGTGATCTGTGGAAAAATCCATTATGTTTTATGAGCCAACACATGATATTTTACTGCAAAATATGTACAAAAATGTGGAAAAATTTATGGGAGGAGTATTCCCACCACATGATGTAATATTTCATATACATTTCTATAAATCCTGGTAAACTTTTTTCTTAGTTCATGTTAATTATGCTCTTTTATTGAAGTGTTGTCATGATTGTGTTTAGTTAGCTAAATCATGCATATCCACTCTTGTAGTTTCATTAAAGCACACCTACTTACAGCACAGTAGGTGGCGCTAATGTACATCTTGCTTTTCAGCTTCCTAGTTCTTTCTCAAGAAAGAACTAGCTGATGTTGTGTTTTACACGTGAAAGAAAATGGCATCTAACGGTCAAGTAAAGGTAAATCTAATAGTATTGAATCATTATTGATAATGAAATATATGGGCGTACACATGGAGAAAATGTGCCCATGTCAAATAAATTGAAAAGGATCATAAAAGTGTCTTTGTTACTGAATGCATTCTTTCATAATGTGTTCTTTTGTGTGCACATTGTATTTCTATGTGTATGTTTGCTTAAAATAGTCTGGAAGCAGTTTAATGCACAGGCATTCATTATTAATTTTTGTCATTTACAGTTTATGACACATGAACTCAGTGTATATCCTCAGATTTCTAAAACAATTTCAGAAAATACACTGAAAATTCATCTTTAAATTGAATCAATACATTGATGCAGAGAATAAATACTTAAATTTTTCATTTGGGTATGTTTTTTAAAATATTTTTATTATGATTTCTTGATAGTGCACACCATACTGTCCAAACTATTTTTAAAGGTAAAAGAAAAAAGTAAACTGCTATAAGAAAAAAGTACACGTGATCTGTGGAAAAATCCATTATGTTTTATGAGCCAACACATGATATTTTACTGCAAAATATGTACAAAAATGTGGAAAAATTTATGGGAGGAGTATTCCCACCGCATGATGTAATATTTCATATACATTTCTATAAATCCTGGTAAACATTTTTCTTAGTTCATGTTAATTATGCTCTTTTATTGAAGTGTTGTCATGATTGTGTTTAGTTAGCTAAATCATGCATATCCACTCTTGTGGGGGAGACTGTTTCATTAAAGCACACCTACTTACAGCACAGTAGGTGGCGCTAATGTACATCTTGCTTTTCAGCTTCCTAGTTCTTTCTCAAGAAAGAACTAGCTGATGTTGTGTTTTACACGTGAAAGAAAATGGCATCTAACGGCCAAGTAAAGGTAAATCTAATAGTATTGAATCATTATTGATAATGAAATATATGGGCGTACCCATGGAGAAAATGTATGTAAGAAAATAGTTTAGGAGATGGAACACTGCAGTAATTTCACATCAACACGCCACTAACCAAAAATGTTGCATTAATTGGGTTCTGCAATGAAAATTGAACGTATCACAATCGCTGTATTGTATTTGGCAGTATACAGCACTTTTCTTTACATCCAATGTCAGCAGCTCGTTTCGCATTTTATAGAGCATGAAAATCTGCTATCACCACATGCTTTACCGCTTCTTCCTGGAGCCGAGCCCAATGCTGCTAACTATGCATAGGACTTCGTACCATATGTTAATATTTCTGTGGGCGTGAAATAATTCTGGTGTAATAATGAAAATTTAACGTATCACAATCGCTGTATTGTATTTGGCAGTATACAGCACTTTTCTTTACATCCAATGTCAGCAGCTCGTTTCGCATTTTATAGAGCATGAAAATCTGCTATCACCACATGCTTTACCGCTTCTTCCTGGAGCCGAGCCCAAATGCTGCTAACTATGCATGGGACTTCGTACCATATGTTAATATTTCTGTGGGCGTGAAATAATTCTGATGTAATTGTATTAATAACTGCAACGTTGTTTGGTCGATACAATCGATATCATTAGACTTTAGACTGTTTTGTATACTCGATGCTCTTTTTCACTTTGTTAGGAGAAAAGTTTCGGTTGTGACAGTATTAATATAAAATATAGTCTAAAACGTACGACTACTATCCTACATTTAGGTTTACTGGCACGTTGAAAGCATTAAACCATTATGAAGTGACTCTCTTAACAGCCCCCTGATTGAAACGTAGCCCCAAAACTTCCCAATTAAGCATTAAAAGAATAGTTCACCCCAAAAAGAAAATACTGCCATTATTTACTCACCCTCCGTTTGTTCCAAACCTGTCGAAATAGAGTTTCTTCTATTGAACACAAAAGATGATGTTTCTTAGGCTGATGACACACCTCAACTTTTACGTTTATAATGCAAAAAATTGAGATGCAAAAAGGAATGAACAGCTGAAAACAAAAACCAAGTTGTTGCATGAATGAATTCTAATATATATATATATATGCTCGTTTTCCTGTCGAAATAGAGTTTCTTCTATTGAACACAAAAGATGATGTTTCTTAGGCTGATGACACACCTCAACTTTTACGTTTATAATGCAAAAAATTGAGATGCAAAAAGGAATGAACAGCTGAAAACAAAAACCAAGTTGTTGCATGAATGAATTCTAATATATATATATATGCTCGTTTAATACCCAAATATGATACCTTGACCTATTATCAAATTTACATGCTTACTGTGAACTGTTTCAAAACAGTTTAATGTGGATATTCTATAACCTTTTCACTTTTATTTAGCCTCTGTACCAACATTTTTGGAGTGTGTTGCAGCCGTCAAAAACAAAATCTGTTCATATTTACAAAATACATTACATTTCCGACGCGTGCTTGTTGTGTTCGGCCAATCACAATGCACTGGTTCAGCTGGCCAATCAGAGCAGACTGTGCTTGTCGGAAGGAGGGACTTTGTAGAAAACTAAGCGTTTGAGAGAGGCGGGGCATAGAGGACCTACAATAATGTACAGTATTTGAAAAATAATGTGTTTTTTGAACATTAAAGCATGTCAACATATTCTGTTACACCAAATACACAAAATAATGATCTTTAAAAAAGCATTGATATGACCCCTTTAAATAAAAGTTAAAGAGAATTAACAAATCACAGATTCTTGATTTGTTTGCATTTTACAAAACATCCCAACTTCTCTGGAATTGGGGTTGTATATACTGTATATATATATATATATATATATGGAAAAAATAAAATATTGCATCCCCATATTGTGCAGAACTAGCATTATACACAAAGTGACTCCTCTGGAGGCAAAGAATGAGAAGCAGAATGAAATAAACCTATTTTCAGCTGCATTCTTGATTCTTCTATTCTGATGGTGTTTAGCAAACTGTCTAGGAAATTATTCAGGTTAAGTGGCTTGGCTGTCCTCAACTTCAGTGCTTAAGACTCTACTCGCTTCTGGAATACTTGATTCTGTTAATGGCATTTAGCGGTCAGATATCTATTGCAACACTGTAAATCAGAATGTTCATCTGGGTAACTGAAACAGGCACTGCATGACTCATGTCTCATGCAGTACAGTACATACAGTATCACAGACTTGCTCTCTCTTGTTGCATACAAATGCAAATGGCACCATCTTGCATCTATATATTGTGAAAATTGCCTCAGAGAGTATGAATATCATTTAAATATATTTTTAAATGAACCACATCCTATTTGTTTTGTCATTATAAAATATTTGCGAGTGTTGGAAATGTTTTAATTAAATCAACCAACTGCAGACACCCATCCCACATTCAGATATGTCTATAAAACATCATGTTCTCATAGATAGGAATAATTGGTGGATCTGGTCTTGATGATCCAGATATCCTGGAGGGAAGGACAGAACGGTATGTAGTCACGCCATTTGGAAAGGTGAGTGTCTCTGCATTGTGTCTAGTGTACTTTCTTGCATGCATAATTATGGGAGAGTACATTTGGAAATGAATATATGCATTTGCTTTAATTAAACTCAGAAGTTGAAATAATTGCTAATCATGGTTTGCTTCTAAATCATGTGTTCCCAATAATATATAACAGTTGTACTGATAGGCAGAGCGAGTAGTGTATTCATACTCATTTCTTCCTCTCTTTTGACAGCCTTCTGATGCTCTGATTTTGGGCAAAATAAAGAATGTCGAATGTGTACTTCTTGCAAGGTAATTACACTGCAGGGTATATACGATACAATATACAATCTGAATCTTATATTTGAAATATCTGCTTGTTTTATAGTTAACAAGGACAGAAGTCTAATCTAGAACTTTTCTCCCTCTACAGGCATGGGAGACAACACACCATAATGCCCACCAATGTCAATTACCAGGCCAATATTTGGTGATGAACAAGACACTCAAAGTGCTTGCTATTTAATTCCATACGAAAGGTGTATTTGCTTTAATTAAACTCAGAAGTTGAAATAATTGCTAATCATGGTTTGCTTCTAAATCATGTGTTCCCAATAATATATAACAGTTGTATTGATAGGCAGAGCGAGTAGTGTATTCATACTCATTTCTTCCTCTCTTTTGACAGCCTTCTGATGCTCTAATTTTGGGCAAAATAAAGAATGTCGAATGTGTACTTCTTGCAAGGTAATTACACTGCAGGGTATATACGATACAATATACAATCTGAATCTTATATTTGAAATATCTGCTGGTTTTATAGTTAACAAGGACAGAAGTCTAATCTAGAACTTTTCTCCCTCTACAAGGCATGGGAGACAACACACCATAATGCCCACCAATGTCAATTACCAGGCCAATATTTGGGCCTTGAAGGAAGAGGGCTGTACTCACCTGTTAGTCACCACAGCATGTGGTTCCCTCAGAGAGGACATCCAGCCTGGGGACATTGTTTTGATTGACCAGTTTATTGATAGGTTAGTGTTAATTTCTCTGTAATAATTTCTCATCACATTTTCAATTTCACACTCACTTTAAAAAAATCTTTTAAAAACAAAAAAACTATTGAAGGATACAAACAACCATGTAAACTTAGGGCCCTGGAAGCTTAGAACTATTTGAACACAAAACCCTGGGAATTTTAGATTCTATATCTTTGTTTTGTTTTTGTTTTTTTCTTGTTCTTGTTTTCCAAATAGTAATACTTAACATTAATGTTCAGGGAAGTAGCTTACATTTTATTTACTTTTGAGCAATTTGACCTAAAGACATGTAGCTCTGTATTTAGATTCATTGAACCATGCAGAGTAAAACTATATCAACGGTTGACCAAACTGCTGCTCTGCTATTTTTGTGTCTGAAATGTTTTATCTTTGAACCGTATTGCCCATGATGGCCAAAACCTGATTGTTAAAAAAAAAAAAAAAACTGGCATGGCGGTCATTGGCCAGGTTTGCGTTTTGAAATCGAGTAAAACTATATCAACGGTTGACCAAACTGCTGCTCTGCTATTTTTGTATCTGAAATGTTGTATCTTTTAGTTAAAGTTTAGGTTACTTGGGCAGCCACCGAAACCAGCTGTGTGCGACAGGCTTCCTGTCTTAACAAAACTGCTTAAATTGTTGTTGTTTTCCTTTAAGCATCTCTTATCTCCATTTAATATGAATTTTGCTAGAGAGAAATGTTTCTTGAGGAATTTAAAGTTTAGCTGAATGCCAGAAAACTTTGAGAGAAAACAAACAGTACAAATTCTTAAGAAGGCCGCACACCACACCAGATGTGTCTGTCAAACGACACAAACTGGCATAAAATTCGAACACATTGTTTTCACATGAGTATACATACAGTAATAGTGCTACCACTCAGCATCTGTCGACAGTGCCAAGATTGGACTTTAGAGGCTGCTCAACATCCTGCCTTTGGTGGTGTTGGACTGGTTTTTTTTTTCTTTCATACATCACACTTCAAACTCATTAACAACACTTATTCATTGTTGAAGTGAACATTTGCCTTTATGATGATTTGAACCACCTTGAATTTGAGGACTTGAGTACAGAATGATGAGTCCAGTTTTGGATTCTTATGATACTTGCTTCTCATCTGGTGTGAAACTGGCTTTTTTGTTCCTCACAGCAGATTTTTTCCGTTTGGTTCATATTCATATTTCATTTTCATCTTAATTTCCACTCAAAAATGTTACACACCACCCTGAATTCAAGGACAACAAAACGTGTCCAGACATTCTATGATGGGCAGCCCACCAGCCCCCCAGGTGTGTGCCACATCCCTATGGCTGAACCTTTCTGCAACAGGACTAGAGAGGTCAGTGACATTTCCCGCCCAGCTCTCTGTCTGTCTCTCACTCTCTGTCTGTCTCATTGTTCATCTTACCATATTCTCATTCTTACTATTTTTTCCGTATTTTCTTACGTCCTCTTGTAGGTGCTCGTGGAGGTTGCCCAGGGACTCGGTGTGAAGTGTCACACCCGAGGGACAATGGTGGCCATAGAGGGTCCTCGTTTCTCCTCTCGGGCAGAGAGCCTCATGTTCAGACAATGGGGTGCTGATGTCATCAACATGACCACAGTACCGGAGGTGGTTCTTGCCAAGGAGGCCGGGCTGTGTTATGCTAGTATTGCAATGGCAACTGATTATGACTGCTGGAAAGAGCACGAAGAGGCGGTGAGCAGATAGAAACTTTTGTCTGTGTGTTTGTACAGTTTGTGTGTGTACGTACTTATCCATATTTATGGACTATCCTGTTTTGGCAGAAGTGAGATAAATATGACAAAACCTCTTTTTCCGGACATACAAGGACATTCCCATTTGTAAAAAAACAAAACAAAAACAATGTACAGGGGTTGAACAAAATAATATGAAAACCTGGGAAATAGGCAATATTTTTTAATGTTTTACCACCATTTGCCTTCTTATGCACTATGTACTCAACCATGTAGTGTATGAATTATATAAGGTTATTTTGTCATTTATAATCGGAGTCTGATAGCCCCTCCCCCTTCGCTATGTAATTAAAGCTGCTACAGTTGAGGGCATGAAGTGTCCAACATTTCACACTTCGTTTTTTTGTTTTTTTAAGTGCATCAGCCGGGTTTTTAAAGTGCACTTTTTCTGCACTTTTTTTTTTTTTTGTAAGTGTGAATGCACTACTCGCACTATTTATACTACAAGAAATAGTATATTTCTTATATAATAGTACTATTCACACTAGAATAATGCACAAGTACGCGATTTGGGACGCACCTAATGTTTCAACTGGAGTCCATTTTGTTTTCAGCATGGAACTGAAACTGTACCAAAATACACAGATTCACAAGGATTGCATGCTAGAACAGTATAGAGATTTTAAATGCATTCGCAGGTCAAATGTTACCAAGCCTACAGAGACCATGCATCAATATTTCTTTCAGTCTTGTTTTATCTCGGAATCATGATTAAAGTTGTTTTGATAAATGGAAAATTAGTATTTTAGGAAAGAGAGAAAAGTAACAATTCATGTCTAATATTAAACTCTATAATATTAAAAATATATTCTTGCCGCATTTAGCCTAAATATAGTGTTTTTATAGTGTGTAATTGATTTATTTTTACTATATAAAATAGAAATTTAACAAATTTGCAATTTCCCACAAAATCCATTGCATTAGGCTTACCTGACTGATGCCCTTTCAAGAAAAAAATAATGATATTCATTAGACAAAAACAAGATTTTTTTCTTTTCGTGTAGTAATTCAAAGGCAAAAACTCATTTTGGCAGCAGAATTAATTAATATCTACAACCTTGGGTCCATATAAGCCCAGCTATTCCTTTGGTCCTTATATTTGTGGCAAATACTCACTTCAAAAAATTTTTTTTTATATAGAGAGATTTTTTTCCCCATAAATGGAAGCATTTGTCTCTTGGTTACAAATGCCACATAAAAGCCCTTTGTTATTTAGTGAAGTGTTTTTTTCCCCATTCATTTCATTTTCATTCTAACTAGACAGTATGTGTTTTGACAGTGAAACTGTACATAATATTTTGATGCCATTTCAAAGAAAGGACATAAGAAAAAAAACAGAAATGTGTTACGAAGGATTTTTTATAGGATATTCATTTTTAAGTCAATAAACTCTCTGCAGATTATTGTTTCCGATAGCAGGATGACCGGTTAGGCTGGTAGTTTGCTGCAATGTTTACTTCCCCTCACAGTTCAGAGCCCTCCTTCCGAGTTCCTGCTGCTGACCTCTAGTTTTCACTCCCCACTTCACCACATCCTTCCGTCCCTGTCCTGTATTCTCATTCTCTCTCTGACTCATGCACAGACAATCACACATATTTTGCTGCCAACCAATGAGTCAGTTCCTCTAAAGGAAAACATCGGTGATAAAAAAAAAAACAAGTCTGTAGTTCAGTTTTCTTGATCACGTAGATTTTTCTTGTTGCTGTCTTGATTCAGTAGATCCTGACATTGTCCTCTATAAATGTGAATGCACAATGGCACTGTAGACAGCTAAATGGCTGACAAAGTCTGGCATTAATTAGAGACAATAGTCCATCTGTTGCTTGAACATAAATGTCTTCCATTTTCAGTTTTAACTTGTGACAGGTTATTCATGACTCGTGGCAACCTTATCTGTGTTATCTGAGTGGCTACAGGCAAATGTGAGACTCGGAAACTTAACAGCCTGATATCTGTTTTGAGGATGTTGTTTGTTTTTAGAGGTAAAGTTTAATTTGAAGAATAAATGTGATAATTTTAAGTTCAAACTGCATTTCAGCATTTACTGCTCAATGGTTGATCTATTGCTTGCTGGTCCATTAATTTTAATTTGCCTTTTTTTCTCATGTATTTTTTTATAAACCTGCATATACCAAACTTTGCTCCTTTTTTTTTACATTTTAGGTGTGTGTGGACAACGTTCTGAAAACCATGAAAGAGAATGCAAATAAAGCTAGCAGCATCCTGCTCACAGCAATCCCACAGATCTGTCAGATGGACTGGGGGAGCACAATAAATGCACAAAAAGTGAGTTTAAAGCTCTTTGTTATATTTATTAAAAATCTGTAATTTACATAATTTAATTATGTAATGTATTTCGTGCTAAATGTTATATCTATACTGAGTTTTCAGCTTTCATGTTGTTTTTCATACTGAGTTTTCATGTTGTTGCCCAGCTTATGTCACAGTCGTCAGTAATGTTGCCCAAACATTAAAGTATCCGGCCGTTGAGGAGCCATCCAAGATGTGGTGTCCACAGCTGCAATCATGTATCTGTAAACAAGCATGATATTTCTACCATTATTGACCTAAATAAAAAAAAAAGGGTTTGTCATCCACCCCGACATGGCTATTATTTTTCTCTTCAAAATGGTGTTTGTTTAAAAATGCAATGCATGGTAGCATTGCCAGAGGACAGGATCTATTGATTATCACATTGTTTTTCAGTGCCTTTTAATAGTAGCAGTAGTGTTGTTACACCTTGAAGTACCTTGGATAAATCAAAATACAAGTGTTACGGTCTAAGTTAGTCTAGGGAAGACCGCAACAGAAATAAATGGTTGGTGGTGAGACACTGTGCGACGGCAGAGAAAATGCCATTTCCAGACCCAGAATGGCTACAATAACTCAAACAATCACTGTCAAATGCAGCAAAAAGAGAGGTTTTTATTTACAGAGAACAGAGAAATAACAAAAGGGTTTTAACTTCAGAGGGGGGCAAGGCCAAAATAACAAACATAACCCAACTAACTAAGCATCAAAGAAAAGAAAACAAAATACAACAGATTAAACTAACTCCCTAAACTAACATAAACAGGAGAAAATAAGAAATGCAAAACAAAATGGCACCCACCTTCCTACTAAACCCAAAACAAAAGACATGAATTAAAACTCAATATTTATTATGGGCAACTGAAGTTAACACTCACTTCTCTTTAGATCAAGTCTTAGTCATAGATGTAATCAATGGGACAAAGGACAGAAGCTCTACTTCTACACAATTGAGAGAAAGATACACCAAATCACCAAACTAAGGCGCAGCACACCATCTAGCCACCACCAACTACTGGTCTGAAAGTAGCTGTAGTTTAAATACTCGCTCTCCTCTCCCATCACCCAATCACAGCAGAGCTCTTAATTAACCTCAGGTGGGGATACTGGTTCTGCTGGGGAGAGAGAGAAAACAAGGCACCGAATTCACACAGCAACGGAACCTTACGGCTCTGGACATAACACAAGTATAAATATTTTGGTTGGATATAAAACTAAATACATGTATTTCATAACCACAAATAAATATATGCTGTTTTTCCCTATGAAAATTGTGTGGGATATTATTCATTGTGCCACATTTCAGTGCATTGATGAAACCCCTCCATTTTGAGTCAGCAGCAAATTGCTTTTACAGAGCAATTTCTTTTCTTTGTGAAGAACAGATGCATATTTGTAACAAAAATGGGTAAACTTTGGTTGCTTGTCAGAAATAAATACTGTTTTCTCTTCAGTGTTTTTGCCTCGAGGAATCGTAACAGATCTCCGTGTATCATGTTTCTTTTATAATATTCCTGCTTCTAAAATGGAGGACGTCTAACTTTGATTTCTGATCTAATTATTTTCTGTTCCTTTCATGAGATTCGATCAGCCAACCTTACTGTCCCCTTGTTGTATTCGGTCTAATACGTAGCAATGTCTTCAGAGATAAACCCTCAAGTAATAGATTCTCTTCAAATAACCATTTGTCTTTTGCACTTTGGTAAATGTAACGGTCTCTATTAAATAATTAGCTACATTTTGTTTTCTTTTTTTCTTTTAGCTGTCTTTCATAGGTTTCACAGGTACAATATGCAGGAGGTAAACTGCATAAATAAAAAAATAATAAACTTTACTTTCCGCACAATATCAGTATTTTGCACTCAAAGCTGGCGAGGCGATCATTAAAGAACCAAAATTATGCGTTATAAAGAAAAAAGAAATTGCACGGTGGCATATAGAGAGTTGCATTTATTTAGCCTATCATAAAACATCATAAACTTATCTAAAATATCTTATTTTCTCAAGAGAACTGAGAAATATAAGCCACATAAATAGGTTATTTGGTTTGAGCGCATACCCAATAAACGGACGACTTCGTTATCTTTCCTCGATTTAACTCCATTTAGCCATATCATTCACCATGCTAAGTAAAGAACAAATATTATGGATATGTTAAAAATTTGAATTTTATACATATACCGTAATGCTGCGTCCAGATACACACTTTTACTAGGGTGATATTATCATTAATGCTTCAGACTTAAAGTTAGGTTTTTTTTCCTGTAGTTTGTGATAGTGATGCTGCATGAAGGCATATTAAAAATGAACAACTGTGAACCATAAATTCTCATAGGAATAAAAATTCTTAAAATGTTTAATACTCCAAACAGCATAAAAATCCACAAACAATATTGTAAATTATTATTAGCCTACAAATATGTCCTAAACAATGAAAGTGCATAACTGCTGCGCTCATTCCTTTATTTATTAAACCAGTCATATTATGTGATAAATATGTAGTTACCAAAAAAAAGAGAAGAACTTTAGCGTTTAAATACGACTGAGAAATTCAGCCACGTCCATATGGCCAGTCTGCCGTGCCACATCCACAGGTCGTAAATTGCTGTGATCTGTTGCATTGGGATCGGCGTTGAAGCGAATTAAAAGCCGCACGGTGTCCATGAATCCGCTTCTGGCCGCATCGTGCAAAGGAGTGCTTCCTGTCCCGGGATCAGGCACATTAGGATCTGCTCCATATTCCAGCAGCAGGTGAGCCAAAGGTGTGTTACCCATCATCATCACCTGCGGGGGTAAAAAAAAACAAAAAAAACACGTGCAATGTTGTCAGCAATGTTTTTGGTATAAATAATTGTTCCTTTCTATTTAAAATAATAAATAAACAAACAAACATGCTGACTGCAATTCATACTTTAAATGTCATTATTTGAATCACTGAGAAAGATTTTCTCTCGTTCGGTAAGAACAATTTAGCTAGTGCATAGTGCAGGCTATTAGGACAATAGCTAATAGCCTAATAGTTCAGCAACAATAATTTAACTGCTCATTTTGTAACATTTGTTTTTATCATTACTTAATATTGTTTTTAGATAAGTGTGTATCATATGAGTATGTCCACTTTGTGATAGGCCTATCTTAAACATATTTCGTTAAAATTAAAAAGATTAAAATGTTTCACTTAGCCTATCTTACCAATTAGCCCGAAAACTGTATGGCCTATGTCTAATCAATCAATCACAGTTTCTGAAATTTTGCAGTCTTTGTGTATGTTCGTTTTAAGCTTGCTAAACTATTACATCGTCTCCGCAGGCACTTTATTTTGCCTCCATTTTTTAAATCCTGCGCAGAATGGGGAGCATCACAACATGAGTTGTAACACCACCATTAGAACAGTCTAGAAATTAGCTACGAGGTGAAATCGCTTTCAAACATCACCACCACCCTCTTGAAGTGACAGCAGGACAAAAAGTTTGAGTTTTAGGCTAATCTGGTTTATAATATTTGCCATCTCACTGAGACAGGGTGGTGAATGTTGATGTGGGATAGCCTAATTTTTTAATAATAATACAATAAATTCATGGCAAAATATTAAACGGCAGTGTTTTCTATTATTTACAACCGATCTGGTAGTACAGAACTCTTTTGACATACATTTACACAATTTAGGAATAGGATAAACTAATGGAGATTTATGAAGATTTATGAAATAGCCTAAAATGCGACAATGAAACACTCCGCAGTATGAAACTCACATAGGACCTACTTTTAAAGTAGCCTACAATTAATAGAATAGGATTAATTTCTTATTTTAAAGTAGCTACATGATTTTATATATTTTTCTTTTTTTTGTGAGAATGGTGCTGTCCTTTGGTTAAAACATCACAACTATAACTATTACATTTAAGACAAATAAAACAAAGATATACTTTTTTTCTACGATGCTAAACGTGTCAGGCCATTTACTAGTGCTTTTTTTGAAAAACAAGAACAATGTTTTAGCCTTCAATACCTCCAGATAACTACACCTATAAGATAAATACTGTATTGAAATATTAATAATGTTCTAATACATTATGGAAATTAATAATATTAAACTTAGATTTTTTCCCATAGTTATTAGAATTGCATCATAGTCTAAATATGCCGAAAATGTTTCCAATTAGTCTCACTAGCCTACTCAGTAAAGACAACGTAAATATTAAATTCAAGTAAATAGGCTAATAGACTATAAAAATATATAGGCTATATAAATAGAAATTAAATCCTATTAAACCGAGTGTAAGATAGAATTAAACAAAATTCTAAAGTTAGGCTATATTAAGTTATAGGCCTATTACCATCTTATAAAATAACTTGAACTTTCATACAATATTTCCTTTAAGTGCCTTTGTATTTTTTGTATTTAATATTTGTACGTCTGTACGTCTTATGTTTGCATTTTTTTAATAGTTAATTTATTCTTAAGACGTGTCTTAAACTTACCTGTATAGGTGTTCTTCCGAATTTGTTAACGCCGTTCACATTCACTCCGTTAGATAGTAAAAACTGAACATGGTAAGTGTTTCCAGTCGCGGCTGCTTTGGTCAGTTCATCCTCGGCATGCATCATTTTCATCATCAGTCCACTGAAGGATTTCGCTTTGACAGGTAGAAGCGATAAGGAATCATCTACTGGTTACTGCGAAAATGATCAGAGTTCACATTGCATTTTAATTTTCTCTGTCTCCAGACGAAAAAGGATACTCTTGAGCTGGGTAAGTACGTTAAATCGACTCCTTTATAAGGCTGCCGTGTCATATAATTTATTACGCGTAGGGAGATATTTGTTCGGACTTGCTTCTGTAATGAACGCTACGGCAAACCGTGCTCTGCAGTAGTCTATGCACTGCGCATGCGCACTCAAACAGCTGATCCAGGAAGACTTGAAGCTACAATGACACAAGGCAGTAGGGAGAGAGTCTGTCAATGTTTTAAAAACTGGTATTAAAGATGCTATAGCTAATAATGATGACTCATTCAGCATCCCAAAACTGAACTAGATTTATAAATAAGTTGTTCTAAACATTATTGATTACACTGCATACATATTTCTTAAGAACATAAGTCTGTCCAGTATGGGACACCTACTTTGAGCAACATCACTCATAATAAAACATACATTTAGGTTACATTTACATACATAGGCTACTTTTTTATCTGAAGTTTTTTAT